TCCATGGCGACCACCGAGCGACGAGTCTAGCGCGAAGTGCCGCCGGCAGCCAGGGAGCTGAAGTTCACCAGTGTTGTTGTTACACTGGTGTGGGGAAAGTTGGAAATACCGGATAGAGTGCAATGATTTGGGAAAAACAGGTTTTACCCAAACCGTTCCACTTCGAAATATCGACAACGTGCGCGCCGACGACCGAATGGACTGCGGCGACGTGAAAGCTAATGGGCTCTCCAGTCGGCGCGCGGCGTCTTATGGGGTTGATCGCTTGCCGTGGGCAAGGAGAAGTTAGAAGCGAGCGTGCCCATGGTTGTGGTTGAGTTGTGCCAACTGGCCGCGTTGAACATGGATGTGTTACACCATCTGTGGTGAGAGCGCCAGCAATTTTTAGCCACTTGGTTACGTTGTGCGCGCCAGACGTTCACTACGAGTCTGCTTACCACGTGTGCTGGAAGAGCTGTACGCTTCCCCTCACGGATAGTGTCATCGTGTGGGTAGTTGTTGCATGACCCATCGCCCGCGATTTGGACAGTGTGTTCTTTACCGCCGACGGCGAAACGCAGCCTAGCAACGACGACAGGGACCAGCGCCAGCGCACTCGGCCCAAGATGACCGCTCAACGACGTAGCGATGTACAGCGCCTGTGAGATTGCGCCACGATGGTCAGCGCCCGTGGTGGGCTGTCGTGGCTGGCCCATGTGGCAGTAATTCGACCAGACGCGAATACTGTCCGGATAATCGAATCGCCCGGATGCGACTGGCGCACATCCGGATATTCGTGGATGCCGGATAATCGTCGGCGATGCTTCTGAACAGTCGTCGAGCGCCAAGATTTTCCTCGGGGCCAGATACGATTTGTCGGGACCCGATCGAGTCGGCCGGGGTAGGACAGGATGAGCCAATCTGGCTATGGCCGAGAACATCAGCACATGGACAAGCACTACGCGGCAAGTACCAGTCACCATGCTGCAACGGACAGCGGCGCCAACGGCAACCACCCAGACCAGAGGCAACAACCGCAACATACACAACATCGACCGCAGCATAGTCAGCAGCAACAATATCACGCATCGTCGGCGTCGTTGCCAACGGCACTGCCTCCACATGTATACTCGACGTCGCAGACGACATGGACAGCACAAGAGCTGCACTTACTACACAAAGGCTTGACGACGTACCCATCGGAGCGCTACGACAACATCACACGTTGCATCAAGATCGCAGCCACGATCCCAGACAAATGTATTCGTGACGTTGCGAGCAAGATTCGAAGCATTCACATGTCCCAAGCCAAGCAAGCCATGCACAGCGACCAACGGCACATGCATGCACTGACCGCGCCACTTGCCGCGCTCTCATCCAAGCGGCAAAAGCGCGACAACAACGTACGCCTCTTGGGTCTCCATGGTCATGGCACGTCACGATCACCATAGGACATGCATATGGTGCCGCTCACGATCAAGAAGGAACCGACTGTATCCCTCGAAGACTCGATTCGAAAAGGTCTCCAGGTAAAATGATGCAGGCGGCGTTGTTCGCGTCACCCCCATGGACCCATCAATTCTTCCACACCAGGAAAACGACAGCACACTCCACTCGATGCGCGCCAACTTGTCCTCTGGGCAACTGCGCAGCAACCTCCACCTCATGGCGCAGTTCCGGGACACATGCAATGTCATTGTCAAACGGTCAGTCAATTTTGCATGTTGTCGAGGTCACGTTCCTTTCTGCAGCCTTGGCGCCATGTGCTCAGCCGTGCCGCCGCTCCCTGTACACCTCGATATGTCCTTGCTCCAGGCGCCGCCGTCGCCCGTCCAGTCGCTGCCGCAGGCATCACACAGCAACCAAGACGACATCTAGTGGAACACATATTAGAATCGTGGACAGTACGGATAAATCCACATTTTTTCGCGGAAATTGGCTCTTTTCTGGAAAAAGTATCAATTTTGAACTTCATTTAAAAAACCACGAGAGGGCAAAGTTTTCAGCGCCTTTTGATCGAGCGGTCGTGGCTTCGACTCCGACTGCGCTTGTGGGATGCCCGGATGCTGCTGCTGCTGTAATGATTGCTGCGCTCACGCGGCTCTGGTTTTGGAATGAAGTTCTTCTGCTTGGACTCGAGCGTCGGCTTTGGGGTCGCGCCAAGCCCTAGTCGATAGTGCCGCATTTGAACTTTGGACCCCGTTGGCTCGACGCGATCCTTTCCTGTCCATCCCATTCCACGCAGTAACGCAGCGCCAAATTCTTCAATCGGCACCGCTTCAAACGCCTCGCTGTGGATGTCGAGCTCGTCTGGTCGCATCGACAAATCATGCTTGAACTTATTCGTTTCCCCAACGATCTTGTCCATGCCTGGGATTCGATTCCTCGTCAACATGGGTGCGTCTTTCTTTTTCTTTTGTGACGTGTTCTCCTCGGCAGCGCCCATGGGAATCACTAGGGTCGACTCCGCTGCATCTTCCTGCTCTTTCCGCGAACTGTTGCGAATATCTTCCAGCAGTGCTTCAGCTGCCTTTTGGTCCTCTGTCCAGTTCGCCTTGATGCACGGAATGACCAACGGACCGTTCTTGGACCCTGCCAACGGGTCTTTCAGCAAGGCATCACCGGATGTCGTGAACCCGACAACAATCTCCTTCTTTTCATCAGTTTCTTTGTCCTTCTCTACACGGAAGCCACCAAGGGATGTCTTCGCCGCCGTCGCGCCCAGCGACTTCTTCTTGCCCTTGAGTGCAAACCCTGAGAAGCTCATGCGCGATGGCCGCTAGTGCCGAGCGTTGTTGACACGGTGCCCCGGGGCACCGATCGAACATTTTCTCTTGGTATTGGTATGGAGCGTATCATCCAATCAAAGCGCGTATTGATTCACATCAGACCAATCAGAATGAAGTGACACAACTCGAACAGGCGCAACTTTTCCCAAACGACCGGGAGGTGGCGGAGTCATGTCGAACCGAAGCGAAAGCGTCAAGGTGGTGGTGCGGATCCGGCCGCTGAGCACCAAGGAGAAGCAGGATGGCCGCACGTACATCGTGTTCTCGAAGCCGGAGGAGGGCGAGATCTCGTTGAACAATCCAGAAGCTGACGACCGCGAGCCACCGAAAAAGTTTACGTTCGACGCCTCGTTTGGCCACGACAGCGAGCAAATGGACGTGTACCAGCACGCCGCACGAGACATTGTTGACAGTGTCGTCGACGGCTTCAACGGGACGATCTTTGCGTACGGCCAGACCGGGGCGGGCAAGTCGCACACGATGGAAGGGTATAACGACCCGCCTGAGCTCCGCGGAATCATTCCCAACTCGTTCAAACACATCTTCGACAAAATTGGGTCGATTGCCAAGACGCAGTTCATGGTGTATGCTTCGTATTTGGAAATTTACAACGAAGAGATCCGCGACTTGCTTGCCGCCGACCCGCAGAACCGCCTCGAGCTCAAGGAGAACATGGACACGGGCATCTATGTCAAGGACCTCATCTCGCGCCAAGTCACGGGTGTGGCCGAAATCGACGCCGTCATGCAGCAAGGTTCGCATTTCGATTCTCTTTGTGAGGACCTCAGACGACATGTAGGGAAAAAGAATCGGTCGGTCGGCGCCACCCTCATGAACCAAACGTCGTCGCGGTCCCATTCGATGTTTATCATCACGGTCGAGACGTCGTCGATTGGCGTCGACGGGAAGGATCACATCTGCGTGGGAAAGCTGAACTTGGTCGATTTGGCGGGCAGCGAGCGTCAAGCCAAGACGGGCGCAACGGGCGACCGCATGAAAGAAGCGACCAAGATCAACTTGTCGTTGTCAGCGCTCGGGAACGTCATTTCGGCGCTCGTGGACGGCAAGTCGCAGCATATTCCGTACCGCGACTCGAAGCTGACACGGCTGCTGCAAGACAGTCTCGGCGGGAATGCCAAGACCGTCATGATTGCCAACTGTGGCCCGGCCGACTACAACTACAACGAGACGCTCTCGACGCTTCGATATGCCAATCGTGCCAAGAATATCAAGAACAAACCCAAGATCAACGAAGACCCGAAAGACGCCAAGATCCGCGAGTTTCAAGAAAAGATCAAGGAGCTGCGCGAGGCGTTGGCGGCGCAGGAGAAGGGGATGGCCATGGGCATGCACGTAGTGGACGGCAAAGAACTCAAGGGAATTGCTGCCGCACCGCCCCAGATTATTGAAAAGGTTCGTTTCGCTGCCTCTGCCCAACTTCCCATCCCTTCCACACGCACTGCCTTGTCTCGAGTGGGCGGAAAACGCCGACAAGGAGGGGCAGCCGTGGACACGCACGACATTTGACTGCGTCGCTGTAGATTATTGAGAAAACGATCGTGAGGCGCGAGGGGGTGAGTGAAGACGAGCTGAAGAAGCTCCAGGACGATGCCCTTCGCGAAAAGAACGAGCTCAAGAAGAAGGCGCAGCAGGAAATGAAGGCGCTACTGGCGTCGCAGTCCAAGACGGAGGAAGAGCGCGAACGGTTGGCCGCGCAGCTCCAGGAGAAAGCACAGCAGAAGGAACTTCTCGAGAAGAAGAAGCACGAAATGCTGGCGCAATTGGAAGAGTACGAGCACAAGGTGATCGTCGGCGGACAGCTCATGGACAAAGCCGCTCAGCAAGAACTCGAGCTCCGTGAAGCGCAGCAAAAGATCGACGAGCAAAAGCGGCAGGAGATGCAGCTCGCGCGCGAGTTGGCCGAGCGCGAGGACTCGAACCTGCTCCTCGAGGAGCAGTTTTCGTCGTTGCAGGAGGAAGTGGACGTGAAAACGAAGAAGCTCAAAAAGTTGTGGGCAAAACACAAAGCGGCGTCGACAGAAATCGAAGACTTGCGCACGGAATTCCAGACCGAAAAGGAGGACATGCTCGAGACCATCCGAGAACTGACCCGACAGCTCAAGATCAAGCAGCTCCTGCTCCAGCATTTCGTGCCCCTGGACGACGCGTATGCGATCGAAAAGCGCAGCAAGTGGGACGCAGAGCTCGACGAGTGGACGCTCGAACACTTGGAGACGCGGCCAACGAGTTTGCGCCCAAAGCGCCCGGTGGCGCGGCGCGGCGTTCGGCGCGCCGAGACGGACTTTGCTCGGCGCAATCGCCAAGTCGACCGAGCAAATCCTCGGTGGAAAGGCGATAATGTCATCGTGCTCGAGCTCGAAATGCCCGAACGCCGGACCAAAGACTACGAAAGCGGCATGATGGGGTTCTGGCTCGACCGGATCGCATCATCCAATGATGACGAGACCGAGATCATTGTGCTGGAGGATGCACCGACATCATCGGCCACGATCGACGAAAAGGACGGGAAACCACACTCGACGGGGCCGTCGACCAGCGACACGGAAGAAAGGGATGACAACGAGGTGCGGTGCATGTCGACGACCCAAAGTCATGATGCCTCCGTAGAGCCGATCCAAGGAAAAGGATCGAAGCGCGAAAAAGTCGTCCAAGGCGCGGCCCCCCACTGCCAGGTACAACTCGATTACGTCGGCATGTGGCTGGTTCCGAGCTCAACTGTGGTGCTGACTGTGTAGCCGTCGCCGAAAGGACGCCGAGTAAGTCGACGACGTCGATGGTGCGAGTGCGACGAGTATTTGAAAACATCAATGTGTTGTGTTTCGTTACTCCTTCGACTTGGGCTGCGACGTGACCGTATACCACGCGCCGCCCGCCGTGACCAGCGCGGCACCGACGATGGTGTGGCACGACATGGGGTCGCCATGCATGTACACCGCCAGCACAATCACCGCGACTTGCTTCATGTTGGCGCACACGGCCAACGTGATGGCGGACGTTGCTCGGTTGGCGTACAAGCTCGTCACGTTCAGCGCAAAACTAAACACTCCCGTCAGGCAATACAAGCTCAGAGCAGAGAAGCGATCGTTGGATGGCGTTGCTTGGAGCACCGTCCACTCGCCTGCAGCAATCTGGGCGTAAGTTCACGCAATATCCAAACGAACGACATGCCTGAGACTACGATGATGACGGCACACCACACGCCAGACAGCGGGGCTTGGTGCAGGATCAAGTCGATGGGGTGCAGTGCCATGGCCTCCGTGAGGAACTGCAAACAGCATGGGGTAGGGTGGAGCATGTGGGTGAACGAAGAAGGCGTACTCTGCTCGACATCACTGATTTGAGAGCGGCAAAGAAGACTGCAATTATGGTCACGACGACCCCCAGGGCAGTGGCGGATTTGTTCCCTGTGCACGCAATGCACACTCCTAGAGCGACCGGCACGAGGGCTACCTTCTGTGACGTCGAGTACTTGGCACGCAGCATGGCCATGCTCAGGAGGAGCGTTGTGCCTGGAACGAGAGCTCGCATGACCTGGTTGAAGCTCACGGTGACCAGCCCCAAGCTCCAGTTGCCCATGATAATGTTCGACACAAAGACGAAGCTGCATCGAGCGTTAATACGCTGCGCTGCATGATGTGCGCACCTGAAGAAGAACATGGTTGTCGATTGGTCCGGCCGAAGAGGTTTCCGCACGGCCCCACGGCACACGTGAACGTAAATGAATGCGCCGATGGTGTTGCATGCCATGTGGATAAACGTGAGCTGCATGTCACATACATGAACCGACGTGGATGACATTACAGATATACCGTCACAGGAAGATGGAGCGCGGACAATGCCGTCTTGTTCACCATGGTCACGGTCATGTTGAGCGCGAACCACACTCCAAGCCACAAGCACTTAGCGTATTTCGACGATGCATTAGGGAAAGCGGTGCTTGGCGGCATGGATGTAACGATCTTATGACTTGGAGTAGGTCGTTCGAGGGGTATGGCGACGTCGATTCGGATGTCGATCTGTTGCCTATCGGGGGGCATGTGTTCAGATGAAAGTCGCGTGGCTCTTGAGGCTTCAGCCACGTGTCCACGTGGTGCACTACACTAGAGTGAGCATCGGGCATCATGACATCGCCCCTCCATTGTCATCCTGGCCGTCGTACCCTGACGCTAGCGGCGCCGCCGCGATCGCTTCCGTCATGCGTTTCAGGAGCTGCACCTCCTGATTATCCGGAATTCCAAGCACTTATCCGTACATTCCATGTTGAGGCAAACTTAAATGCTTGTTGTCCTCATCGGCTGAGCGCCGCCTTGGGCTGGAGCTTGGTCCTGTTGCTGCGGCGTACCTCGCGCTCCTTCTTTCGCCGGATGAGCTCCTTTTCATGGACATCGGGGTTATCCATTTCATAAAGCGGGCAGATTGTCGGAACCATGCAGATTGGGAGGTGGTCCCTTGGACCTGGTGTCGCTTCCTCCGACAATACTTCTTGATGACACGCTCCTGAAGCACGGGTTGTATCGTTGGGCAGTTCCCACACCGATTCGAATGTGACCGTGTTGTAATAGTACGGTTGACCTTCATCAGTCGTGCACTGCACCCACGAAATGGCAATCGATTCGTCGACAGCACTCGGTTGAGTGGACAGCGCCAGCATCGCAGCATCATCTTCGCTATACTCGTTAAACTGCATGGCCCCTTGGCTTTCTTCCGGTCGCTCGTCGACATCTACGAGAGATGACCATCATCATGCCTCATTCGTCAAGCGTACAGGTTCCAGTGCCTCGCGACACCACTGTCTGCAGCATCGTCGTCGTCGTGATGTGTCGGTTCTTCATGGCCACTTGCGCCGGTGTCTCCATGTCGTGGTTCATGCATTCCACCGACGCCGCAAACTGCAGCAGGATGTACACAATGTCATCGTTTCTACGACGCAACAACCATCGCACTACTGTTGGCAATCCAGGCGTCATGTACCCGAAGCGAGCTGCCACGTGGAGCGGCGTGTGGCCGTCATGATGGGCAGGCCAATGCACGAGGGACGGTGCAGCTTCGCAGAGCCATGTCACTGCTTCCACCCCTCGAGGGCATGCAGCAGCGTAGTGCAGAGCGGACCATCCACGGTCATCGACGCCAGCGACGTCCCCGCCAGCGTCAGCTAGCAGCTGAAGGCACTACACACCATCTCTGAGACCGCAACCCAGCAGTGAATGGAGCTTACGAGCGTTTGGCCGGTCGACGCGGCGGCCAAGACGGATGTGATTCCACTGGTGCACCGCTGGTTTACTTGGACGTGCCCACACTACAACATGAACTTTCACCAGGACGTGGTGTATGCACAAGCATGCTACCTCAAT